CGTTAGGCATAAATACGTTAGGCATATTTTACGGTTGGCATAAAGAATGTTAGGCATTATATAAGTTAGGCATAATGGACGATAGGCAAAATGTATATTTAAAGGAAAAATCACAAAATGTTCCATTCTTTCCCTCATGAGCTGTTCTTTGAGAACAATCTTAATCGTTTATGGCAAAATCAACATGTCTATAGAAACGGAACAAAACTCATGCGTGATTATTATTATTTTCAGATGAGAGACTATAAATTTCGATATAGTTAGTGAGACCAATCACCGTGCCAAATCACAAAATTTTCAATTTTTTTTCTCATGAGGTGTTCTTTGGGATTAGCCTATCTTTTGGAACGAATTGAACCCCATGTTATTTTCAAATGTGGTTGATATCACATTCAAGCTCGAAGTCAGATTTTGTGATGGATCATCAAATTGAATGGCATTATGCTTGACGCCATTAGATCCAATGTGGTTAGCCTGATCGGGCTACTAGGATAAATTTAGCGTTCAGAAACATTTGAGCCTTTCTGTAATGATCGATTCTCTTAATCTATTTACGTTTTTATTAATAGCTCGACTATAATAACATTTTGCGACTACTATTGTACTACATACTTTCATAGCACGTATAGGAAATATTTCATAAAATGGGCTCACTTAGCTGTAGCAATTCAAAGGAGGACGTAGTGGTTAACATACATACCCCTCTCACGCCAAAGTCATGAGCTTAAATCTCATCCTCAATCTCAGCTAGGCCCTTATGATTCTGAACACTAGAAATAAATAATAACTCCACGATGCCAATAATTTCTGCTGCAATATAACTCGTATTGATTGCTCAGGTTTCCAAGTAGGAGGAACTTGTTTGAACAATTTATTTCAGTTCGACTACTTGAGACTAATCTCAAAGGATCTGAGATTGAGGAAATCTCAGACTCCAGACTTGAAGATGAATTTGTTTTCCAAGTTTTTGGACTATCTTCTAACATCCATTATGCCAAATGTATTTATGCCTAACGTCCGTATGCCAAACGTATGTATGCCAAATGGGGTACATTCATTTAATTCTATGGTCATAATTGGTTTGGAATCGGTTTAAAAATATAGGGTTAAGGGATATAAATTAGGGAAACTAGGCTTTGTCTCTAAACTCGGGCTATCAAGCAAATAAATCCTGTTTCAGCAATACCTGTTTTCATTTAAAAAAAAACAAGTTCACTACTCACTTACAATAGTACATTGAGTACATATCCAGCTCCTTTTTAATAAAGACCTTATGCCACATTTCTACTTCGTTCGGTATTTGCCGTGCAATTTACTAAGTGAAATTAATACTAAAATGATGAAAATTGTGCTGTGTATAACAGTGACCCAGAATCATGAGCAGGAGAAAATAGCTTATGAATACCTAATTCTGTTCCTGATACCAAAATACCAAAAAATAATATCAAAAAATGGCGTGCAACATACTTAGTAAATAACAAAAATATATATATATGTTGATACCAAAAGAATATCTGTATGATATTGTTTTGGTATTGCATTACCATAATTTGGTATTGGAATGATATTGTGGTACCATTTTGTTTTTGCTATTATTATTTTTTTGTTATTTTACCTTTTACGTCACGCTAATCGAAACCAATTTAAGGTATCGAGATATTCGTTCCGGCTCGAGATGAGATGAGAAAAACAACCAGCAATCTCATCTCAATAACTATTTTCGAGGGGCCGAAGTTACATCCATTTATGGGCCTAAGATGGAGGAAAGTTCATTCATGATTAAGATAAGTATTGTAATTTCAAATCGTACCAAATTGTTAAGGATATGATAAGCTTTTGACTCTCTGAAATGCCTTTCAACTTTTCCTGGAAGAGAAGATTCTTATGATGTGTTTCTTCCAACATCTCCCAGAAATTTTTTCCGACTTGTCTTGGAAGAATCTTCCATTTACCCTTAAAGTTTCATCCAACGTTCTCCGGAAATTTCTTCCATCGCTCTACGGAAGTTTTTTCTAACCATCCATTCCAACAATATCTTCTGACTTTCCTCAGAATTCCTACTGGCTTTATGTGGAATATTTCCCATTTCACCCTTCTGACTGCCTACGGAACTTTTCTGAATGTATGTTCCGGCCTTCTCAGAAGTTCAAATGACTACCTTTGTTTGTGTCTTCTGACTCCTTGAAACTCATTTCAACTTTTTCTGGAAAAATCTTCCGACTTCCCTCGAAAATTTAACACAGATTGTTCCTGAAGCGTCTACTGGTTTCGCTTGGAAATGTCTTCGCCCGGAAGTATTTTTGACTTCACACTAAAGATTCTAACCTGTGCCCTTGAAAGATTCTCCCAACATTCCCAGGAAATTTAATTAAATTTTCCCCAAAAGTTATTAAAAGTTTAAAGGTTTATTTCTTGAAAACAATGATAAAAAATATATCTTTTTAATTGCAGATTTTTAAAAGCTTTTTTATGGAAAATTGGAAAAGTATTTATTTTAGCAGATTTGTAGAATATTTCCTATGGATTGGTGTATTTGTATTTTAGTTTCATCTTTATATTATAAAGTTACAAGCGTTCAAAACCTAACATCTTTTCGTAATGGTCGCAATTTAATATTTTTGATTTTAACGACTGCCACCGGAAGAGTCTTGAAACTTATCGTGGAAGTTAATTCCGGTTTTTCTAGACTTGGTCTGGAAATTTCTTCTGACTGACATAGGCTAATTTTAACGATTTATCTTGAAAGCTCCGTGCAAGTTCCCCCAGAGGTCCTGATGACACGCCCCGGAAATATCTACCGACTTCTTCTGGAAGTTTTTTAAAAAAAAATTCAGAAATATTCTTCAGACTTGTCTGTCAGCTTCCTTTAAAAGTGTTTTCTTTCTCCGTTTTTTCTGACTGCTTCGTTTATTCTTACTGCTCTGTAAGCTCTTTCCAAACTCTCCAAAAAGTTTCCACTATCTGGAAATTTCTTTAAATTCATTGATAGTTCTATATAGAGTTAATTTCCCTGCCTAGATTTTTTCCGGAAAGAATATATATTTTGCATGGCTTCCATACAATTTGGTGAAATTACTGCAAATTTATTCGCAGGATTTATTGCGTAATTTTTCAAACTCCCCCTGGAAGAAATCCTGGCTGCGTCAGGGACTCAATTCATATTAAAAATTTGTTTTCGGAATTATGAAATAATCAAATTTTATGATCAAATTTTTCATAAGTAAAGTACAAAAAGAGGTAGTAGTGTACACAATCAAAGATTTTATGATCGGTTGTATGAGTGAGTGAAAATTGATAAAATCGCTGATTGTAACTCTTTGAATCAAATATATACTTGTCAACCTCTTCTTGCAACTTGCTAGTAAAACATGTGATCATAACATGTTTTGATTTCTTTTTTGGAAAAAAAATTTCATCAGCTAAATAAGAATATGTATCCTAGTTTATAGTCATGCTTATGCAATGGTTTTTTCGTCAATTTATACCAATAGTTGAACAAATGGACTAATAGTGTATCTTTCCCAAGCTGTACACATATTTGGTGAAAATATCAATTACATTTGCCCCAGCACTTTGACTTTTTCCCGCCTTTAAACGGCAGAGGCTTAAGCAGAGGGTTGTGCTTCATTCAACATAGAAATTTGCTATAAGAAATGGTGTTTAAATAAAGAATCTGGTCGGTTGAGCCATGTAATGTAAGCATGTAATATAACGAAAATATTTCAAGTCTACCAGACAACATTGATCGTTATAATTTTTCGGCCTATTTGAGCAAACAGGCCACATCAAGTGGATCATATATCTAATAATGTGAGACCGCAACAGCAGTTTGGCTCTGTATGACTGCATGATTTACTCTCAATTGACAAATTCAATTTTTCGTCTTCCTTACCATGTTCATTGTTGTACCCCAAAAAATAATGTTTGTATTTACTCCTTCAATCGATATCAAATTGTATTCGAGCTCTTGAAAATATATTACCAACCATCGATCAAAAAGTCAATTGAGTCCAGTTTAAAGAAAAAAAAAACACATATCCAACCAGGTATCTCATGAAAAACAACGACAATTAACACCCAAACATAGGCCCGGTAGCCATGCTACTTTTTTCCGGCATGTTGTTTCCCCTCAATCCACCCACTTCCGCCGCGGCTGATGGCAATGAGCACAAACACGCACCCGCCGTCCAATCGGCCGCCACCGTCGTCCGCCGTGCACAATCCGCCAAACAGTAGCCAAAAGAGAAAATCGGAGAGAAAGAGCCAACAGCCAGCCACACCAGTCTCGCTCGGTAGCAGTGCACACATGTGCGCGCGTAACACCGGTAGCCGGCTAGGGTGCTGCTGGAAAAGGCACATGTGCGCTGGTGTGTGCCTGCTCTTTATAATTAGACGTTTTCGGTCCTTGTTTCCTCCGCTAACTTCGTTACGTGCCGTGGCAACCCGAAAAAACGGGTTTCCACGAGCGGAAAAAGGGCGGCGCAAAAACCGGTAGCCGAGTTCGCTTTTCTCCTCCATGCCATTCGCCACACGCTCTCGCTCTCTTTCCGCGTGCTGTTGGGCCTACTGCTCTAAATGAGGCGGAATCGCCCAAAAGGGTCGACGCTTCAAAAATGTCCAGCTCGAGGATTGATCATTAGCGAATGGCACATGCGGAAATAGATTTTACCGCCGGTGAATGTCTCAATGGGCAGTATATTGTGCCGACGGCAGTTTGTGGGGTAAAAAAATGGATCCGAAATGTGCAACGAAACGCATGTTGGACCTTTCTAACATGAATTCGTGTGTGCGTTTGTGTTGGTGAGAGCGCACAACCGGTAGCCGAACAGTAGCCGTTTCGGCATTGCACGAAACGAAGATAAAAAGTGGGCGGCGTAAAGACCAGTAGCTCCAGGTCTCTCGCGACAATACTTAGGCAGCAGTCGGCCACCGGGTTTTGCAGCGGATGGATTTAAGTGATTGAAGTGTAGCAAATTTAGAGGAAAACTAAGTGAACTTACCTGTGGAACTGAAGAATACGGTGCTGAAGATCCTGAAGTGTTATATGCAGAAACTTGGATTTCCTGTTTTGGCACTTTTCCTTATCGAATATTTGAGTATAATCACACTTCTTCTACTCACTTGGTATCACAATTTCGTATATTCGTGGCACTTTAAAGATACAAGTTGCTTCCGCTTTCGTAACTATGCATTTAGAAATCACTTTTCGCTTGCAGGAAATCTTCTTCGGATCACAGAGCAGCGGACATGCGCCAAACTTGGCAGGTTGCAGCAGCAGTAAAATACAACTAAAATCGAAAAGCGATCAAACAAATCCCGCTGAGCTCCTCCGCAGGAATGAGATGCTCTAGACTCCAGCACAGTCGAAAAAAGTGTGAGAGTTAATAATATCGCAGATGTAATATAACTTCCGAGCGCTTCTGTGCGTATCGCTATTATGACTAAATTGATCTTCCGCACTTGAAGGCAAGATCCCTCGGTGTTGGGTCGCCGTACAAAGATGAAGATGATGAGACCGAACTCCACACACAACACAGCAGCGCGCAATAATACACACCGAAATAACCACACGAGAGGCCGACCAACCAGTCAGTCAGGCAAGACAGGAGGCAAACGCGTCGGAACGTGTGTGTATGCCCCGCACACCAATCGTGTCGTGAGTCAATCGGGTAACCCGAAAAGTTTAAAAGTTATGACGGAGAATTGTAGAAGGTGGCTACCAAAAAACGGCCTGTTTAGTACGCTGGACTTGGAACGAGTGTTGCGAACGTTTGCTAGTAACAGAAGTCAAAAGACTTTCTGGCATAGTAGCTGCGAACTGGAAACTGCAGACATCTACTGTACTTAACCGTGTTGCCGTTCGGGGCATTGCGATCTGCAAGGGGCAGAGCGAGATAGCATCATCCAGCAAGCCAAAGAGAAAACCTACACTAGTAGCTGCTTTATTGATGCCCCCCGTAGCACCGTAGACCCCTAGAGTGCGTACATTAAATCTCCTTCTATATACACAGCTGCTGACGATTTGACTCTCGGTTATATGTACCATCAAGTTTTTGGCTGCTGATTTGACTCTTACGCCTGCCTAGGCTCTCTTTCTTGTTCTCATTCATACCCGGTTGGTTGTTTGCTTTCTCACTCTTGCCCGCCGTTGCATCCGAGCCAAGATATCTCTCGCTCTCTTCAACTCACACACCGAGCAATCTATAACCCCTGGCCACAGCTACCCACCACCGCACCCGCCTGTGTCTTGCTGTTAGTTCTCTCGTCGTCGTCGTCGTCGTCGCTGATTCACGCTTTGCTTTGGTCTACCAACAACGTCCTACGCGCAACGTGGTTGAGCCGTATATGTGATGATCATGCGGAATGCAGTGGTGCCAGAAGCGGAAGTAGAACCGGCAAAATGTTCGTCTGAAATTGATTAGTTTGAATGATTGACGTAAAATAAAACCACTATTCAGGTTTTCTCAAAAAATTTTATTCAGATTGATCTGTTCAATAAATGAAGGAAGCAGAACTTTATTAGGTGATCGTCAAGATTGTACGACTGTTCTTCGAAAACCAGTTTCCCGAAAATTATTTCCCTGAAAAATTATCATTTCACAATTTCGATTGGACATTTTCATGATAGTACAGTAGTTTTTTAAACTCATAATAATTTACGTAATTTCTCTTCTATCGTAGAAATAAAGTTATAGACTGAATAGTAGGCTGGGTCAAGTTCGTATGGTAGATTACAACCTCCTCTATCGATGTGTACACGGATAGAAATTTCCTTATACCTTTTGGCAAATTGCTATTGCTGATTATTCATAAAATGTATTAGTCAACTTATAAGCAGACGCCTTGCAAGAAGATAATGGCTGAATAAAATAATTGATTTTCGTTTCGTGTAGGTCCCCAAAACTGTGCAAAATTTGGACAAATTTGGTTATGATCTGGATTTGCGGGATAATTTTAAATGTTGTATGGAAAACGAAATAATACTCGAATATCACCAAATCTCGGAAATAGATAGGGGATACAATGCGGAACAACTTTTTGCAAATCGATTAGACTTCTGAGAAAAAAGTTATTATTAAATTAATTTAGACCTATTGCTCCGCGCATACAACAAGCGTATATATGAGCTTGTAGTTACGTGTGCAACATTTGGCCTAAAGTGAAAGATTAATAACTTGTTATACAGGGTGGCAAGTGAACCAGGAAAACCAGGAAAATGCCGGGAATTGTGTTTTACCTGGAAATTTGAATTTTTAAGCAAAACTAGGAAAATAATAATTTTAAGATGCATGTCCGTTTGATATAATTATTTAGTAGATTCTAGGGTTACATGTGGTTCCAGCCTGATTGATACAATTGATAATCCAGCGGATCGGGTCGATTACATCAAGATCTGTGTTCAACCGAGGCTTCCAAGAATGATACACACTAAGAAATACCTAATTGTACACATGACGGAATCCATCTTTGACATAAAGGATGAGACGTAAACAAACATGTCATGTAAAATTAAGTGCTCCGAGACGGAAAAGTTCAGTACTCGACGAAAAGTACAATTGATTGAAATGAATTTCGCGTCTATTATGACTCCATTTTATGTCATAATTGACGCTCAAATACTAGATCGTATATGTCAGTCTCAGAGCATCAAATTAACATGAATTTTTCTAAGCGTGTAGTTATTATCCGGTTGTTTATGTTTGACAGCTGCGGATGTTGCTTCTTATTATTTCTGAAATGTCGATGCATGCTAAAATATATGTGAATCAGCAATATTAAATACACTTTGATAATCGAGCAGAAAAGCATCAGAGCTTTCGTCGCTGCTGTCAAGACAACGCAACTTTGCTTTATGTTCTCAGGCTGTGTTTAAATTGGTGAATTTTCACTTAAATTTGACACTTCGAAAATAAATTAAGATGTTCGAAAATCCCTCTGTTGTTGACCTTCCTATTTTCGAGAAGGTGTTAGTCAAAATTGATTCCTGGTCTGCCAGAAATAAGTCTGGTACAATAGCAGGTATATTTGAACATTTTTCATCTGTCAAATATAAGTGAAAATTCACCAAATGGAGCACAGACTCAGTACAAACACGATGAAAGCTCATATAGATCAGTGCACGGTCCCTAACCTCACAATGTGGTCTTGTTGTCCCTTTAATTTAACACCAGAGTAAAAGTGATGGTAACAGATAACTACGAATGTAAACCGAAACAAACCACCCAAAATTGTCAAATTTGACATCTACGTGCACTGATCTATCACAAATCTTGCTTTCGGTGCTGGACACTTGATTGACAAGAGAAAGTGCGAGCTTTCATTTGATTTCGTTGTAGAATGAAAACTGTTACCCTTTTTTTTACCACTCCGAACACGATGCCTCCGGTAAAATGTGTAGCGGAAAATTGGAGATGTTTGAAAAATCATTGCTCTACAATTTATTGATACCGAATAAATTTTTAAAGTATCTAGTTTAAAATGGTGCAAATCAATTTAAAATTTGTCAATAAACAGGGGAAATGCAGGTAATGTGTCCATAATTGGGGCCCATACATAAATTCAACAATCGACTAAATTTTCAATAGCAACCAAAAATATCCATTTTTACCGTCCCAAAAACGCGCCAACATTAGAGCCATTTCCCCTATCTCCATCTCCATCTGGAGGAAAGTGCAATAATAACTTTGCAAAAAAAATGTCCAATGGAAATTTTAAGGTTTCAGGCACGGTGGGATCATTAGGCCGAAAGCCAGGATGTCGAATGGGTCACTAGACCGAACCTTTCGTTAACCGACATCTGCGTTGTCCAAGTTGAAGACATACATACATACATGAAGAAATAGACATTGAATGTACTTGATGGAGTCCAAATATATCTAACATGATGACGGACTAGCACTATCACTTCAAATTTTTCCAGAATACAAATCTCGGAAACTACATAAGCTTCACGCTTTGTAAATACAACTTCATGCCTGCTGCATTGCAACATACGTTGGGATACGCGTGGCGATCAAGTGTGCTATGCACGCTGCAAAAAGACGTCAACAGCAACGCACGGTGGGGTTGAATTCGTCTTTTACGCAACCGTTAATTAACGACCCAACATGATATGTTAAGTACAAAATTGCGACAAAACTAAACAAGATAGAAAATTGGTGTCAAAGAGAGAGAGAGATGTAGAGCGCATTAAGAGGCATCTTTTGGTTCGTCATAACAATACACTTTATTACGTATTTTTTTTTAAATAATAAGGAAAAACCCTTAGGAAAAAACTAGTTTTAGACTCGTTTATCCCTAAAATGTGTCTAAATTCAGCTTACTTAAAGTAGAAATGAGCCAATTTATGGCAAGCATAGACCAGAACCAGGGCGGGTAGTGGGTATGTGATGTTATAGTAGTGACTTTAGTGACTAAAATTACGAAAATAGTGACCAAACATTGACTATTAAACAAAAATAAAGTGACCAATAGTGACATTTATTGATCGGAAAGATATGGTTCCAATAAAACAAATGATTTAAAGATCACATAAATTTGTTATCGAAACATAAGTATGAATTGAATAAGCAAGAGCACATTCCAATTCAAACCTCTATTTCCTCACTCTGCAGATCACAAATTTGTTATTAGATCGCAAAATAGAGACACAGAGAAAAATATTCAAAGTACCGATTTTAGACAGAATTTTTTGAAGATATAGGATATATATATGAAGCGATGCATTTAGCAACAGAAAGAACTGCAGTCTAGAATTAAATGTTCTTGGATCTAAGTTAGCCATGAGTGTATTAATAAAATATCATTCACTTCTTTGTAGTCGCTATAACGAACTGGTCGTCTTTTTACGTTGCTCCATTCCTCCTAAGAATAGAATCTTCTGTAGCACCTCAAACATAGAAAAGAATCATAGCTCTGGGACAACTTTTCTAGATCGTAGTTTAAGAAAAAAATCTCATTATTATGGCATGAGGAAAATTTTCCCAGATGGAATGATCACGGACATAAAACACAATTTAATGCGTCTAGGACTTAAAATCATTTTTTCATTTTTTTTTCAAATACATTTTAGATTTTTTTTTTAATCTTAGACCTGGACTTTTTTTTTTGTATTACCGATATATTAGTATGGAAAAAATACAATGCAATTTAATGGACTTTAGAAGGAACTCAAAAATCTGTGACATGATGTTTTTTTTTCTCGATGTTTGGACGGATAGTAAAGCTACCGAGGGTCATGATTTTTTAAATTTTTGAACTTTGAACAAATGTTGAGAGCTTGAAAATTTTCCTAGATCATTTTTTGACATTATACATTGAACCAACGAGAAAAGTAATTTTTACCTGAAAATTCAGCTACCCTCTTCAAAATAGGACTTCAATGACATGTAATGAATTCCACTGGATTCGCTGGTCCAGTCCACATGTCATGCTGGTGAAGATTAAGTGAAATACACTTAAGTTTTTCGTGATTTCATGGTAGGAAAATTTTCTCAGCGTATTCGTAATAGAAAAATATTGATGGAAAAAAGTGCGCATTCGTCGTTGTTGAATGAGTTGGAATTCCCAGTCTTCTTCATGTTTCAAGCGTAAGTTTTATAATGTTTATAAATTAAAAAATAAAATTGCAGAATATGAGTAAGTTTCAATTTTTCTAGAATGCAATCATTTAATGACTCAAATAAATCGAAATATATATCTATAGTCTTTCACCAATTCACTTTATCATCAATCAAAATCCAGTAACATCTATTTGCTAATTTCCGTAACTTTTAAGTGATGCCAATTTGAAGATTATCGGAAAGTGAATCACTCAAATGTAATATCTCTCCCCCCAAAACACGAAATATTCACCTGAAAAGTATGATGGAAAATATGTACAAGCCTATTCAGGTGAATTTTACGTAACTTTTTGTTGCAGTGGAGGCTAGGATAACTTTTAGAAATCTCTGAAAATTTAGTATAGGTCTATGACATTTTCAAGATAAAAATAAATAAAATATTAGATTTCGTGAACAGTAAACGTTTCCATATGTTCGCAACTCTTCTGGTCAGACTTTACTCTGAGTTTTCAAAGTCAAATTATTAACTCTCTT